AGTTATCTTACGCACCAGGCGCCATCTCTCTTCCCACGCTCTCACGCTCAGCGCTCAAAACCCTAAACCTTGCCCGAAAATCAGAGCGAGAAAACCATCGGCCTGAAATCTCTAGTTTTTTTTTTTCAAAGTTCTGTCGTCTTTTTTTTCGAAGTTCTGGGATTTGTACAGGTATTATGTCTCTCTGTTAAAAAATAATCTCTCTGGGCGCTAAATCCATTCCATCTCACTTTTTCATCTGGTTTCTGATATACTCTGTTTTCTTTTTGTGCTTTCTGACTTTTGTTTGAGTTTCAATAGTATATCCGCTTCTGCTTCGGTTTTATTAGGGAATGCTTTATACAGTTGATTCCTTTTTTTTTTTTTCTTGTTCTCGGAGAGCCAGTGTTTTTTATTTCTTTTCAGTTATTTGATTTATGTTCTGTGTTGGATATGGCGAACTTTTTCTGGGAAGATTTTGTTGCTTTAAATCTGCATTTTGCCATAATTTGTATTACATTATTGACTGTAACATGCAATCAATTCTCCTATGATTTATATTTTGTGACTAATTTCCGTTCGAGGATTTGTATTTTGTTGAGTTTTTGTAAGTGTTAACTATCATACGAGTCTTTCATGACATTTGCCAAATTTGTTTTACTTGATTGACTTTATTTTGTAATAGAATTTTGCATATTCATTTATGCTTTGTTGAGTGATCTTGTTTTGTGATTAATACTTGTTAGAAGATTTATATTTTGTTTAGTGGTTAGAAGTGTCAACATCATGTGTGGCCATAAGATTAGGTTCATCTATTTATCTTATTTCTTTTGTACAATATAGAAAAGAGTGAGAGAAAAAAAAAAAAATTCAATTATCCAAGAAGAAAACCCCAAAATTTTCTTGTCCTATTCTTCTATACCTCTGATTTTGGGTGTGATTTTCACCCTTCTTTTCTCTAATCATTTTTTATCTGATCGTTTCCTCCGATCTTTGTTTAGGTGTCCTAGGTATAGATTTTTTTCCTGATTGTCTGTGTACCTTGCTGCGTTCTTCTATGCTTCTGCTAGCTAGAGTAAACTATTTTTCCTTCCGATTTCTCTACAGGAGGTAGAGAGAGCAGCTGACTTAAGAAGTTAGAGAGAGGTGGAGCTTTTTTTTTTATTCTTCGTCTCTGTGTATATATGAGAGAGAGAGAGAGAGAGAGAGAGAGAGAGAGAGAGAGAGAGAGAGAGAGAGAGAGAGAGTAGAGTAGTAGTAGTAGTAGTAGTAGGTTGGTTAGGTTAGGTTAGTACGTAGTACGTCGTACGTACGTACGTCGTACGTACGTACTACTACTAACTAACTAACTAACGTAAACGTAAACGTTAACCGTAACGT